TTAATCCTGATCATTCCTGACATGGTCTAATGTGACAAAAATGAATGAATAACTAACTTTTCTGATCATGGCCTTGCCATAACATTAGGATCATGGTCCTAAGTGACAAAAATAAATAAATAACCGACATTTTACTTTTGACCAGCCTAGGCAGCCATATGAATAAAATTATTTCCCATCATTAACCGCAATGATTGTACTTACAAATTAAAAAAAAGAAAAAAAATCCTAAATCCTCTCTGCAATAAAAAAGTGATTGCATTTTCCAAAAAAATATAGATATTTTGTTTACCCTATAATAAAAAAAAACTTTATACTGACCTCATAACTCTGACGGCATCGCACCTCAGCCTCTCCGAATAATTCCGATTCGTATCGGATTCGTTAATATTCCCATACTGGCCTGAGCCCATTCGTAGGGCGTGTATCTTGTATAAAGTGCGGCCCTGGCAGCATGCCCCGGATTACGCTCGAACCCGTCACCAAATTCGGAAACTTCAAGGGCTCCGTCGACATTCCTCCAGGGGCGAAACAGGGACTCGCCATATCTGATGTTAGGGGAGTGGCGGGACTTGAAAAATAATAAATAAATTAAATAATAATAATAAAGAGAGAAAAATGTTATGGCAAGGCCATGTTATGAAGAACTTTCCATACTAAATATTGACAGTGGCGGATCCAGCTTTGGCGCAGGGGAGGGTCACATTATTTAGGAGTGTTTGAAGTAATTTAATTGCTGAATTAGTGTTCTATCTATAAGACAAACTCAGGGTGAGGGGGTCATGCCCCGTAAACCATCCCCTGGAGCCGCCACTGGTTGTCAGGCGTATTTCTCAGCTTGTCAGATACATAACATAGTATTTAGTTATTAATAGTATTTATTTGCTTGATGTTCACGGTTCAAGTTATGAATAATTTTTTATAACAAGCTTAGTACCTATACTAGGGTAGGAAATTATTTTGTTATGTCAGGTGGATAAAAATATAGACTAGCTGTAAGTGGAATTCTGTCTTAAGGCAATTAAGGCATCGTGCCTTAAGGCAAATTGCTGGAACTTCCCGTACCAAATATTATTATTTTTTTAAAAACGATTAACATTCTTGAAAAAATTTTACTTCGAAAAAAGAAGATTTTTGAGAAACTATAAATTGGACAAAAAATTACTTTTTTTGAAAAAAAAAATTAAAAAAAAAACATCTTTAATTTTTTTTTTTTTTAAAAAAATGTTTTCTTTATTTTGACATATTTTGGAAGATCTAAACTTTATTTCAAAGCAATCGTACTGCTTTAACTGCATAAAGACGAAATATCAAAGCGCGTAAGCGCCGCATCGCCGTCTAACGCGTAAACATTGGTACGGAACCCATAGCAATGTAAACCAAATTTATACTTATTGTTAAAATCTCTAAAAAAGATCTGATAATTTGATGTGCATATGTCTAATGATCATTTTTGACCGCCAAATGGCATTTTTTTTTACTTTTTTCATTAGATCTCCGAAACCGCTAGACCTGCCTTTATGAAAATTTGATCGGTTCTTCACCTTGTCAATACAACTAAAATGTTTTTTGAATTATTTAAATCGGACGCTCCGTTCTCTTAAAAACTGAGTTACCGTTTTTGGCACTTTTTGCCCCGTATCTTCGGAACGGCTAGACCTGCCTTCGCCAAAAACTAATCAGCACGTCTCCTTATCAATACGAATCGAAAGTTTTTTGAATTATTCAAATCGGTTGATCGGTGTTCCCGAAATCGTCGACGAAAATTTGTATCCGCACATACATACACACACATACACACACACACACACACACACATACATCCATTTTTTCTAAGGTATGCCAAAATATTTAGAAACCTTTGAAACGTCGAGAAATGCAAAAATTTCCATTTTCGATTTTTTTGCGATTAATATAACTTGCCCTACGGGAAGTTAATAAATACAATTTGTGAGGCTAGAACATGCCGCCACGTTTGAAAAAAATAATGGGAATTTAATTTGAAAATGAAAAGCTAAAACACAAAAAAGATAAAAATATAAAAAGGACTCTACTGACGTGCAAACTAAAATTTAAATGACAGAAGGTCAAACTCAAACACAATAAAAAATAAGAGTATAAGAAAGGACTCTACTGATGAGCAAACCGAATATTCTGGCAAACAACAAATAAAACAGCAAACTGGAAAATTAAGATTATAAAACGATTCCACTGACGAATTGTAATATAAAAATTATCTCATACATACTTAAACACTCTCTCACACACACACATTTTTTCCTGCAAATTGACCTCAGATCTATGGAAAGAGAAAGAGAAAACAGGACTTTCCTCATTAAAAAAAATAAATAAAATCAGTGCAAGAATGATAACATTCTAGATCCTCTCCCTTCGAAGTAATGCCTAACGGAAGTATTAGTCGGTATTATACCCAGTCGGTATTGAGTCCGACATACCCAGACAAAATACCTAGTCTGGGATTCGTGAAGGCATTTCCTTCGCTATTCGCTACAAAAAACATACTTTTCCAAATTTAGTCCCAAACGATTCAGAATGGCTTGAAACGTCGAGGAAACCTAATATTAGCAAATCAAATTTTAGGAAAATTATAATATAGTATCAAGCTCTGAAATAGCGCTAATATTTTTTTAATCACAAATTTTCTTTTTTTTTTAAATGTAATAAATGTACAAAATATAATATTTCTGACAAAGGACAATAATAAATTAATAACTAAAGGGTCCGCCATCTAACTTCTTTATTCATTGTGTTAACTTTGTTCGTCTATAATCACTCGTTTATTGTCTCTAAATACACTATCTACAATATTCAAACATGTTTGATTTACATGGAAATTAATTTACATGATTTTTCAACATTGCATCATATAGTTATTAGTGCAGTAAACGGAGAGGAAAAAAGGGTATAACCTCTGAATTTTTTTACTGTGCTCCGAATTGAATGAAATTTTGGAATTAGGTTCATCTTACCCTCAAGTTCAAAAGTGAAAACAATTCGGATGATACCCCTTCTCAATTGTGTAATTACATTTTTTTTAAATAACGTCGGAAATCGATAGAAGAACTACTTATAAGAGAAAAATGTCTTATAGTTTTTTAAAAGAAGCTAATACTGTTCAAGTTACTGACCACTAAAGATTCATATATTTTTAGCGTTTTTCTTCGTTTTTTTGAAAATATCTCCTAAAATATGCATTTTAACGAAAATCATGTAATAAACAAAATAATGCCAATAAAAATCTTAATAAATCGGTATTACATAAAGTGTTCTAGGAAAAATATTAAGCAAGATTTGAAAGAGCAAAGTCGTTTTTTATTTCGTTCAAGATTTAATTGTTGTATTTAAAGTCATCTAGTGTCGAATACATTTCATGCATTTCGGTGAAATTGGGTTTTATAGTGCTCAACATAAGCTTTAAATTGAGTGCTGTTACAAGTTTTTTGCGTGTAAAGTGAGTGAGCTATCATGCAAATAAGAAGCATATACGAAGATTTTTTCTTTTAAATCATATAGTTTAATGAGCGCCATTTCCACCATAGTTAAAGTAATTCACATTCCATCTAGAATTCACTTCATTATAGACATCTTGATGGATTCTAGCAGATTCACTACTTTAGTACAAACTATTTTCAGAAAACTCACGATTTTATAAAAACTTTTTTTTCCATTTTTTTTTTAAATCGAAATTATTTTCATTATATCTCAAAAAGAATAAAAGATACGAATAAAAGCATATAGATAAAAATCAATGGGATCTTTCTGGCATATTATTGTTTCTGATTATTTTTCTCTCACACAAAAATTGACAGGGTTATGAATGTTTAAAGACTGCGCGGCCGCGCAAATAGGAAAAAAAAGTTTTTATAAAATCGTGAGTTTTCTGAAAATAGTTTGTACTAAAGTAGTGAATCTGCTAGAATCCATCAAGATGTCTATAACGAAGTGAATTCTAGATGGAATGTGAATTACTTTAATTCTGGTGGAAATGGCGCTCATTAAACCAAAAAATTTAAAAGAAAAAAACATCGTATATGCTTCTTATTTGCATGATAGCCCATTCATTTTACACGCAAAAAACTTGCAACAGCACTCATTTTAAAGCTTATGTTAAGCACTATAAAACCCAATTTCACCAAAATGGATAAAATGCAAAACCTCGACACTAGATGACTTTAAATACAACAATTATATCTCGAACGAAAAAAAAACCGCTTTGGTCTTTCGAATCTTGCTTAATATTTTTCCTAGAACACTTTATGTAATACCGATTTATTTAGATTTTTATTGACATTATTTTATTCATTACGTGATTTTCATTAAAATGTATATTTTAGGAGATATTTGCAAAAAAACGAAGAAAAACGCCAAAAATATATGAAACTTTAGTGGCCAGTAACTTGAAAAGTATTAGTTTTCTTAAAAAACTATAAAAGACATTTTTTTCTTATAATTAGTTCTTCTATCGATTTCCGACGTTATTTTGAAAAAATGTAATTACACAATTGAGAGGGGGTGTCAACCCCCCGGGGGGTGATGGCGCAACCCGAATTGTTTTCACTTTTGAACTTGAGAGTAATAAAATGAACCTAATTCCAAAATTTCATTCAATTCGGAGCACAGTAAAAAAATTCAGACCTAAAACGCTCCGTTTACTGCACTATATGGTGTTATAGTAAAGTTACAATAAATTAACATTACCCAGAAACCGCACAAATGTCGAAAAAACGGTGTTAGATAGCAGGGACTTTCTGACCCAGCTTCATAACATACGCGTAACGTTGCAGTTTATGTGTAAAACGTCTGAATCACAGCAAATACAATGACATTTTTACAGTATTCAGTATGATTCAGTATCATAATGTATGCAGCAAATACATAGACATTTCGACAGTATGATTCAGTAGCATAATGTATGGAAGTCGGGGCGTGCCATGGCCTTGCCATAACATTGGTCCTTTATTATTATTTTTTATTCTTACAGAGGCATAACCTGTATAGTTTCATAGCCCAAAGTGGGTCTCCAAGGGTGCGGCCTGGGGGTTTCGTAATATTGTCCGATCCTGGTAGGGATTGGGGGGCCCTTTACTTGCTCCATGCAGGGCGGAGCCGCCACTGTGCCCCATGGTTGCAATTGCTGAAAAAAACGAGGTAAATTTAGTAATAAATTTAATAATAAAAAAATATTTAGCAATAAAAAAAATTAATAAGAGAAAAAGAAACACCAGGCAAATAAATTGTGGCATACACGTACTAAATTAAATTTGGAAAAATGATAGAAAATATAAATTATAAAATTATTTAAAATTATAAAAAAAATTTAACCCGTAGCAAGTATAATGTGCAATTAATTTTGACAGAATTTAATTTAAAAAAATAAGCTTTTACGTTATAATTTAAATCATTATAGTTTCAAATCAAGTTATCAAATTATTTCTACTTTAAATCTAATTATTATATTTTTTGACAAGTTTAAATTTTTAAAAGTGAAAATTTTGGAAAATTAATAAAATAAATAGAGTATTTACAGAATACAAGATGGTTTCTCCTAGTTCGTTCGGCATCTTGAATTAATTTATTTAACTAAACTACAGTAAAATTTTTAAATGACTTAAATTTAAAATAATTTAAAATTTAGAAAAGTGCATCAAAAATAACGTGCATCATATGTTTTTACAAATATGTCATTTTATTTAAATCAAATGTGCCAAAATACACAATTTTCTTTAAGTTTATTAATATAAATAATCAACTTTTTTTAAACACACAAAATAGTTTTATTTCATCTTTGAGAATGATAAAAATTTTAACAAAAATTTATTTTAGAATTTATTTGTTTTATTTTATTTTATTTAAATTTATATAAATTTATTTAAAGAATTATAATCGTCATTAATAATAAATATATTTAATTATAATAACGTATAAAATATAACAATAAGAAAATGAGGAAATTTTATAAATTTTTTGAAATTTGATCTAAATTTCACTTATAATATTATTTGAGAAATATCGTTGAAATAATATATTTAAAAAAAAATTATAATAATATTCAAATAATAACATAAATAAAAAAATTAAACGAAATAAAACCATTTTCAGATTAAAATAAAAATTGTAAATTAAACTCAAATTACGTAATTATTTGAGTACTTATTGATCTATATATTAAATAATATAAATATTGCAATTTAATTAAATTATTGTTATTATATCAATTTATCCAGATAAATTAATTAATATACAACTCTAATTTAATACTCTAATTTTAAATTTGAATTGCGCGGTTCTTTCTTTGAGGTTAGTTTGCTTTATTTTGACAGTTATTAAAATTTAATAGATAACAATAACAGATGTAATATTTATTTATATTTATTAAGAAGTTTATACAATTTGCTTCAAGACAAAATACTCTATATACACCTAGTTTTTTTTAATAATAATTCCTCATTTTAACATTAATTTAGTTTAACAATTAACTTTAATTTAACAATTAAATTAGAAAGTTTGAATTTCGCGGTTACTGCTTTGAAGTTAAGTTGCACCATTTGACAGTTGTTTAAAATTTTCAATAAAATGGATTTTCTATTTTTAATTATTTATTAGGAAGTTAATATAACTAACTATTTATTTATTAAAATATATATTAAAAATCATATTCAATTCAATATTAATTTATCATTTACAATTTTATTACAAATTTGATTTGAATTTCGCGGTTCTGACTTTGAGGTTATGTTGCACAATTTGACATTTGCAGAAAACGTTGAATGACGGATTAAATTTTTATCTTTAATTATTTGTTAATAAATAAATTTAGTGATTTGTTAAACTTTTATTTAATAGATTTATGAATAGTGATTGAATTGTAATAAATTAAATAACATGTCATCTGAAATAGAAGTGGAAAAACCTGCTGAAGCCCCTGAACGTAAGAACTTGATATAAATTTATATATGAATAATTAAATATATATATATATATATATATATATATATATATATATATATATAATTATAACTATAATAATACCACTCACTTATTGTTTGCACTTCAAACATCAGCAATATTTTAACTTATAAAAATCTTGTCAAGTAAGGTTAGGTTATAATGACACTATCATTATTTAATTACTAAAACTTTTTCCCCAACCGAAGTTTAAATATATATTACATAAACAATTCATCAATAAATAAATTATCACTTTATTTATTACTATATATATATATATATATATATATATATACTACCATGTATACTACTTATATATTTTATTTATAATCTTATTGTTTAGATTGTCCTGGGACTCAAAGCGAAGACGCAGGCAAAGCCTCAGCCTGTGCAGGATGTCCCAATCAAAACATTTGTGCTTCCGGAGAAGCCCGAGGACCTGATCCTGGTATACAAGCCGTCAAAGAACGTTTATCGACAGTCAAACACAAAATACTTATACTGTCCGGTAAGGGTGGTGTTGGAAAAAGTACAATGACATCTTTATTGGCTAGAGCTTTGGCTGCTCGAGATGCCGAAAAGAATGTAAGTGGTAATGGATTTATATATATATATATATATATATATATATATAAATGTATATATATAATTAGTACCTTGTGATGAGAGAATTGTCTGGAATCAAATGGGTATTTTAAAATGCCGCCTCTCATGAAGCACTATATTTTATTTGTTTTGCAAAATTAAAACTACGTTTGAAGATGTTTGTCTTTAACTATGATTCAATTATTTTGTTTTCACATTCATGTGGTTATTTTTAAACTGCATGGTACGATGTGACACAGGAATATTGATTGGGTTATCGGATGACCTAGTAATCGGGTATTGTGAAATGTGGAGACAGGTTCAAGTTAGATAAAACTCGAAGTGACTTTAAATTAAATAAATTCAACTTTTAAAATAATTGTAATTGTGACCTTAAATTAAATTAGTAACATTGCATAACTTTAGTCAGAAGTGATATTATTAACAGGTTTTAATGAAGAGGAATTATTAGATAGATTCGATATAAATCAATTTAAATTATATACATAATATATAAATGAAAGAATATCAATCCATTTTGTTGACTTTGTATATAAAATTTGACCGAAGATTAATAGGATGTTTTAGATGAATATTATTTAATTTTAGTAAGTAGATATATTTGTAAGTAAATAACTAACTATTTATACACAAAAACATTTTTAAAGGGGTTGCAAATGTTAATAGAAACTCAACTCAAACTCAACTTTTTAAAATGTTAATATAAAAGTACACTTTTTGGTTTTATGGCACTCACTTTTTGCAAATCATATTTTTTTTAATTTTCCGTAGAGAAAGTTATAGTAATCGTCTAAAAATAAAAAATGAAAATTTTTGCATTTCTCGATGTTTTGAAGGTTTTTGAACATTTTACTGGCATACCTTAGAAACTAAATTGATGTGCGTGTGTGTTTTGTATGTCCGCACGGATCAACCTATTTGAATAATTTAAAAAACATTCGATTCGTATTGATAACGAGACGTGGTGATTAGTTTTTGGCGAAGGCAGCTCTAGCCGTTCCGAAGGTATGGGGCAAAAAGTGCCAAAAACGGTAACTCAGTTTTTAAGGGAATGGAGAAAGCGATTTGAATAATTCAAAACGTATTTTACTTGTATTGACTAAACGAAGAACTGTTTAAATTTTTGGAAAGGCAGGTCCAGCGGTTATGGACTCTTAATAAAAATAAGTTTTTAATAATGTGTACACATTTTGTGTGATTTTTTTCGGTTCCGTACCAAGATTTTTAATTTTAAATTTCACGTATGTGGTTTAAACAAATGTCCCCAACATTTAGTATGGAATAACCGATTTGTATGATTGAAAAATCATTCGGTTCGTACTCGATCGCGAGGCGTTTTTGCAAAAGGCACATCTTGCCGTTTCGGAGGTATGGAGCGTAGAACGGTTATGCAGTTTTTGAGAGAACGGATCAACCGATTAAATTAATTCAAAACAAATTTTGCTTGAGTAGATTGTGTGCAAAAAATGCTTTTGCAGAAAATTTCGTAATTTTGAAAATTTTCATAAAAATTCAAATTTTCAAAAGAATCAGATTTTAGAAAAATTTAAATTTTCGAAATTTTTTATCATTTAAAAAAAAAACTGAATTTTGAAAAATTTCACGTGATATCAAAATTTAAAAAAAAACTATTTTTTACAAAAATTTGAGAATACTTTGAAATTTTCTAAAATTCGAATATTTTCAAAAATTTTTAAATTCTCAAAAAATTAAAAAAAACGTTAAAAATGAAATACAAAAAATTTCAAACTACCAAAAAAAAAATACCAAATAATCCAAAGAAATCAAATTTAAAAAAAAAATGAACCAATTTACATAACAAAATGAACATACACAAAAGTTTGTAGAATACTCTTGTCGCCTAATTTTAAAAGCACTTATAAGTTTACAATATGTATTTATAATAAATAATCTAATTCAAATTATTCGAATCAAATATTGATTATTTTCATTTCTGGAATGTTTAATTACGGTACGGGAAGTTTCAGCAATTTGCCTTAAGGCACGATGCCATACACCACTAGTTTTATTTTAATTTTACTTACCCTGTTGTACCGACTTCTGACCTCTTTGTTTCTTCCAAAATTTGCCAACATTTTTAATGTTTTCTTGCACTCATCATTCTATTAACTAAGTATTAAGAAGTTTTTCACAATTTTTATTTTTTTGTTGCAACATAATATATTTGTTTGCAACATATTTATAAATGCTATTTTATTGTCATTTCTTAAAACTAAAAACTAATATGTGTTAGACACAAACAATGCAACAAGAATTAGATCGTTTCCATGGAATCAAAAACATCATAGACTTTACACTACATGGACTGTTAGTCTTTATATATTTTCCGTTGTATGTAGTGCTCAAATATAGAAGATACAGTTACGTCACATGTCTGAGCGAACATTGCCGACGACAATCGCGGACTCTCCAGATTTATCAAATGTCTTAAGTCATATGTTACGTGCCTAACAGGTTTTATAATAATATAAAAACCGATTTTAACAGGTGTATTTGATTTCATGTACATTAGGGTGGTCCTTAATATGGACATTTTCGAATTTCCTTGCTCCTAAGGACTCAAATCGTTCCAAATTGATAAAAAACAATTCTCTGAAAGTTTTAGCTCTCTATATTAACTTTTAGATAGTGCGCTATTCAATCAAACTTCGTATAGAAATAGCGTGGACAAAATTTTGAAAATTAAAAAAAAAAAATTTAGGTATAACTTAGCGACAAATGAATTAAAAGTGAAATTCCTGATTTTTATTAAAAATTCGACGCTCTTCAAGATTTTTGAAAATTTTTTCATTCTATTTCCATATAAAATTTTTAGGTTAATATTAAGAGCTAAAACTTTCAGAGAATTGTTTTTTATCAATTTGGAACCATTTGAGCCATTGGGAGCAAGAAAATTCGATAATGTCCATATTAAGGACCAAAATAATAGTACATTCATAATATTAATATCAAAATTCTTACAAAATTATCAGCCCATTAAATTATTGGAATAAAACTATCACGAATAATATTTGACTTAAATTAACTACTATGATAAATATTATTACTATCATTTTTTACAAAATTAGCAGCCATCGCAATTGACATTATATTATCAAAATAAAGCATATAACATATGACTGTATTTATTGAATCGGAAGAGTCCGCGATTGTCGTCGGCAATGTTCGCTCAGATATGTGACGTCACAGTCCCTTCTATGTTTGTGCACTTATTTTGCGCTCTACTAGCAGTCCATGTAATATAAGTTCTATGACTTACATGCATTGATTTTTTTTTAAATGCAATAAATACGAAAACTAGATGCAATGACATTTGGCCTTAAGGCAAGTTGCTTGAACATAAACTTCATTTAAAAAAATGATACTTATTAATAAGAAAGTTTCATCGTCGTAAATATAATAAAGAAGGACAACGACATCTATATTCAGATTTTTAATGATAGTGATTAAGTACAGCTAGTATAAACATAAATAAAATTGCAATGTATAATCAAAATAGTCGTGAGTAAAGTTTTATGTGTAAAAAGTCGACTGAGATTTAACAACTTTTATTTTTTTTTAAACATATAATTCTGGAAAAAATGAACTTTTTCTTCGAAATAAAAAATATTAATTATTTTTTAAGTAAACTTCTTTAGGCGCGACTAGGGTATGAAAATGTGTAAATGCAACGGAAGAGCGTTACGCTCGATTCGAGTGCCAATGATTCGTCATTTATATACGGGTCGATTGTGATTGGTCGTCGTGTCGCGTGAGAGTGTTCTTGATTGTATGCGTATAGATAGCGTATACATCGAAAATAATAAAACAAATGAAAAATCTATGCCGTGTAAGATACATAAATTTATTGAAATAATTTGTATTATATACTAGCTGACCCGGCGAATTTTGTTCCGCCTTAATGGCAATGTAATCAAATACACCTGTTAAAATCGGTTTTTATATTATTATAAAACCTGTTAGGCACGTAACATATGACTTAAGACATTTGATAAATCTGGAGAGTCCGCGATTGTCGTCGGCAATGTTCGCTCAGATATGTGACGTCACACAGTCCCTTCTATGTTTGTGCACTTATTTTGCGCTCTACTAGCAGTCCATGTAATATAAGTTCTATGACTTACATGCATTGATTTTTTTTTAAATGCAATAAATACGAAAACTAGATGCAATGACATTAGGCAAGTTGCTTGAACATAAACTTCATTTAAAAAAATGATACTTATTAATAAGAAAGTTTCATCGTCGTAAATATAATAAAGAAGGACAACGACATCTATATTCAGATTTTTAATGATAGTGATTAAGTACAGCTAGTATAAACATAAATAAAATTGCAATGTATAATCAAAATAGTCGTGAGTAAAGTTTTATGTGTAAAAAGTCGACTGAGATTTAACAACTTTTATTTTTTTTTAAACATATAATTCTGGAAAAAATGAACTTTTTCTTCGAAATAATAAAAAATATTAATTATTTTTTAAGTAAAACTTCTTTAGGCGCGACTAGGGTATGAAAATGTGTAAATGCAACGGAAGAGCGTTACGCTCGATTCGAGTGCCAATGATTCGTCATTTATATACGGGTCGATTGTGATTGGTCGTCGTGTCGCGTGAGAGTGTTCTTGATTGTATGCGTATAGATAGCGTATACATCGAAAATAATAAAACAAATGAAAAATCTATGCCGTGTAAGATACATAAATTTATTGAAATAATTTGTATTATATACTAGCTGACCCGGCGAATTTTGTTCCGCCTTAATGGCAATGTAATCAAATACACCTGTTAAAATCGGTTTTTATATTATTATAAAACCTGTTAGGCACGTAACATATGACTTAAGACATTTGATAAATCTGGAGAGTCCGCGATTGTCGTCGGCAATGTTCGCTCAGATATGTGACGTCACACAGTCCCTTCTATGTTTGTGCACTTATTTTGCGCTCTACTAGCAGTCCATGTAATATAAGTTCTATGACTTACATGCATTGATTTTTTTTTAAATGCAATAAATACGAAAACTAGATGCAATGACATTAGGCAAGTTGCTTGAACATAAACTTCATTTAAAAAAATGATACTTATTAATAAGAAAGTTTCATCGTCGTAAATATAATAAAGAAGGACAACGACATCTATATTCAGATTTTTAATGATAGTGATTAAGTACAGCTAGTATAAACAAATAAAATTGCAATGTATAATCAAAATAGTCGTGAGTAAAGTTTTATGTGTAAAAGTCGACTGAGATTTAACAACTTTTATTTTTTTTTAAACATATAATTCTGGAAAAAATGAACTTTTTCTTCGAAATAATAAAAAATATTAATTATTTTTAAGTAAAACTTCTTTAGGCGCGACTAGGGTATGAAAATGTGTAAATGCAACGGAAGAGCGTTACGCTCGATTCGAGTGCCAATGATTCGTCATTTATATACGGGTCGATTGTGATTGGTCGTCGTGTCGCGTGAGAGTGTTCTTGATTGTATGCGTATAGATAGCGTATACATCGAAAATAATAAAACAAATGAAAAATCTATGCCGTGTAAGATACATAAATTTATTGAAATAATTTGTATTATATACTAGCTGACCCGGCGAATTTTGTTCCGCCTTAATGGCAATAAATAAGCAGTTTTTTTTTTAATTGGATAAAATAAGAATAAAAACAAAATAGCAACATTAATTATTCATAATTATTTTTGTATTTTAGTACATGGTTTGCTTTTCATTTAAGTACTTGTGATACATGCCATTTTTTGTTTTAATACTATATTTAACATAAAGTAGTCGAGTTTAATTTCAATTAGACGTTTCTATTGTCCAATCAAAGCACATTTACTGATAATATATATGCCAATTAGTTGTAAACACCCAAAACATTTTATGAGATATATATGAAGATTAATATAGAACTATTTACATTTTTATTACAAATTTTGAGGTTATGTTAAGAAATTATATTTCGAAATTTTTTTTTTATTAATTTGTTAATGATCATACTTAATGCTAAATACGTATAAACAAATATACATAAATACCTAAGTACATATGTAAATAATTACATTGCCATTTTCAAGAAATAAATTTCTCCATCGTTCATCTGGCATCGCTTGTTATTATTAAGAATTAATTTATTTGCCACTTTGTAATAATTTTCCGTAAAGATTAAAAAATTTATTTTAATATATTTGTATCAAAACAAAAACACCGGTTGACAGTTGACAGTTGAAAGTAAATGTCATGGATAAAATATGAATCATAGATTGAATAAACTAAATGTATAGTTTATAATTTAATTAATTAATTTTGAATTTAAATGAAAAACGGGATAAAAAGTATCCTATGTCCTTCTCCTGGCTCTAAACTACCTCCTTGCCAATTTTCAGCTAAATCGGTTCAGCCGTTCGTGAGTTATAAGTGTTCTAACTAACACAATCTTTTTTTATATATATAGTAGATTTTTAGAAATTATTTGTATAGGCAAGACACATATAATATTACAGCTGCTCAAATAATGAGACTGTATCGCTAGCGAAATAGTCAAAAAAAAATCAGTCAATGAATGTACGTTAATTTTAATTACATGATGAGTACAATTTTTCTAAGGCTTAAGCTCTAAATGCCAATTACAATGACAAACCGATCACGTCGTATTTGAAGTATGACTTTAATTACATAATTACATTATTGTTTTGAAATATTATAAATTTTTTTAATGCTATTATAAATGCAAAAAAGTTTTACTTTTTTATCCAACAGGTAGGTGTTTTGGATTTCGACATTTGTGGCCCAAGTCAACCGAGATGTTTCGGAGTTTTGCAAGAAACTGTTCACAGTTCTGGTTCTGGATGGTCACCAGTGGTAATAAAAATATAATTAAACTTACCCTCTTCTAACCCTAATATATATATATATATATATATATATATATATATATATATATATATATATACAATAGATAAGTCCTGGAGTTTTTCAATACATTGATCGTTTCTTTTCCGAATAGTAAATCCAATAATAAAAAACAATTTGGTTTTTGAAGATGTTTAATAACGACGTTTCGGAACTACATACGTCCCATCATCAGGTTTATTCTGTCAAAGACAATGTTTTTTTTAAACTATTGACTAACATTAATTAATGATGGTTATTAGAGATTATTTAGAAAAATTATAAAGGAATGGATTATATACCGGCGTAAAGAGTAAAGAAAAGTAACTAGAAAAGGTTTTTTATATAAAATTGAATAGCAAAAATTATTTACCTGTAATAATTTATATATCCATATCACTAAAATTTTTTGTTAAAAACACTCGTTTTTTCGAGAATATTTGTAAATGTTTTGATTTCACAAGACTTTGTAACACACTATAATGAAGTTCTGTCGGCCAGATGTAAGGGATATGTACGGAATTTAGGCAAAAATATTTTTTTATGGCCCTTGTATTGGTAATTCAGGAAAATGGGAATGTATTATCTTATAGCAAATGCTGAGAAATATAACTATATATATATATATATATATATATATATATATCTTCTTTATCCAGTTCATCAACGATAACTTGTGCATAATGTCCATTGGATTTTTCATCAACCCTGACGATGCTGTCATATGGCGAGGACCTAAGAAAAATGGTAAAAAAATTAAAACAAAATTTTTGAGTATCTTTTGCATGAGGATTGTGAAAATGTCTGTCTATTTGCGGTGCGATCAGGCGTATTTTACATAAAAACAAGTCCGGGGGAATGTTCGAGGATTCTGTTATCATAACATTCTTCTTTGCTTGTTTATATGTAAAATACGCCTGACCATGCAGCAATTTTTTAAAAAATAATTTATTCAAGTTATTGTATTAAATAATAGTAATGTTAGCCTTGATATTGTTTAATATTAATAAATTAAATAAATACATAAAATTAAGATAATTTATTTTCTGTAATTATTAAATTTAATCCTGTATCCGTAATATAAATATAAATATAAATATAAATATAAATATAAATTAGACATTTTCACAGTTTTCACTGCCAATAAACAAGCATAAATAGATAGAATTACCCCATTTATCAGAGTTTAAACTAATTTTTCTTAGGTATGATACAGAAATTTCTAAGCCAAACCGATTGGGGTACAGATATGGAATATTTGTTAATGGATACCCCCCCTGGTACATCCGATGAACATTTATCGGCACATACATATTTGAAGGAATGTGATTTGACCGGTGCCATAATTATTACAACGCCACAAGAAGTTGCTCTGCTCGATGTCAGGAAGGAAATTGATTTTTGCAGAAAGGTAATAATAAATAATAATGCTATGGCAAGGCCATGTGCGATCCGAGTTTCATACATTATGCTACTGTATCATACTGTCAAAATGTCCATGTGATTCTGGCGTTTTACACGCAAACTGCAACGTTACGCGTATGTTATGAAGCTGTGTCAGAAAGACCCTGTTATGTAAGATAGTTTTTGTGGACATTTGTGCGGTTTCTAGGTTAGGTTTTCTATATGACGACCTGAGACTGCAGAGCAATCACATGGCTTTGTAAATATTTACTTATTTTAAACTATTAATTATTATATTTATATTTTTGTTTCAGGTGGGAATTCCTGTTTTAGGTGTGATTGAAAACATGTCGCTTTTCATTTGTCCAAAATGCACGGTAAGTACAATAAATGAATATAATATTTATAATATATTATAATATATATATATAAATTAGAAAATGGCATTTTGCCTTAAGGCGTGTAATGTGTGTAAATCAATGTTAGGTAATAGTGGAGATACTCGTATATCAATTTTTGTTGTGCACTTTGAAGAGCTCTGCAGGACGTACTGTTTGCATTAGAGTCAAAAAAATTTTTCATGGTAATCTTGGGTATGTTTTTAGTGAAATTGCATAATTAAATTTTCAAAATGTGTTTTTAGTTTTTTTTGAGTTTTTTTTAAAACAAAGTGCTACAGATACTAGTAAGAATGTGCCAATTTTTGTGGTGCAAGTTTGAAGAGCTCTGCAGGACGTAACCTTTGCACTAGGATCTTAAAATTTTTATATAGCGATCTTGGATATGTTTTTAGTGAAATTGCATAATTAAATTTTCAAAATGTGTTTTCAACTATTTTTGAGATTTTTTTGAAACAAAGTACTACAGATACTAGTAACAATGTGCTATTTGTTTGTGGTGTATGTTTGAAGAGCTCTGCAGGACGTACTGTTTCTACTAGGTTCATATGATTTTAATATAGTAATCTTGGATATGTTTTTAGTGAAACTGCATAATTAGATTATCTAATTTGGTTTTTAACTATTTTTGAGAATTTTTTAAAACATGCACTACAGATACTAGTAAAAATATTTTATTTATCATGGTGTGTGTTTGGAGAGCTCTGCAGGACGTACTATTGGCACTAGGTTCTTCAAATTTTTATGTAGTAATTTTGGATATGTTTACTATGAAACTACATTATTAGATCATTAAATTTGGTTTTTGACTATTTTTGAGATTTTTTTAAAACTATATATGCACTAAATATACTAGTAGTAATATTTGATTTATTAAAGTGTGTGTTTGAAGAGCTCTGCAGGACGTACTTTTTGCACTAGGGTCTTAAAATTTTGATACAATAATCTTGGATGCATTTCTCATAAAATTGCATGATTAAAATATTAAATTTGGTTTTTAGCTATTTTTAAAGAATTTTTTGAAAACAAAGTGCTACAGATACTAGTAAAAATATTTTATTTATTATGGCATATGTTTGAAGAGCTCCGCAGGACATACTTTTTGTACTAGGGTCATATAATTTTTATATAGCAATCTTGGATATGTTTTTAGTGAAATTGCATAATTAGATTATCTAATTTGGTTTTCAACTATTTTTGAGAATTTTTTAAAACATGCACTACAGATACTGGTAAGAAAATTTTATTTATTATGGTGTGTGTTTGGAGAGCTCTGCAGGACGTACTTTTTGCATTAGGGCTTTAAAATTTTGATATAGTAATCTTGGATATGTTTACCACAAAACTGCATAATTATATTTTAAAATTTGGTTTTTAGTTATTTTTGAGAATTTTCTAAAACTATATATGCACTAAATATACTAGTAGTAATATTTGATTTATTAAAGTGTGTGTTTGAAGAGCTCTGCAGGACGTACTTTTTCTACTAGGGTCTTACAATTTTTATATCGCAATCTTGGAAATGTTTTGGTGAAACTGCATAATTAGATTATCAAATTTGGTTTTTAGCTATTTTTGAGAATTTTTCAAAACATGCACTTCAGATACTGGTCAAATTATTTTATTTATTATGGTGTGTGTTTGAAGAGCTCTGCAGGGTGCACCGTTTGTACTACCATCATGTAATTTTAATATTTATATTTCAAATGTGTTTGCTTTAAAATTGGATAAAAATGAGTTTTACAATATGAGAGGTATAAAATGTTGCATCACATTTGTATTTAATATAATGGTGAGCTCTTCAGGATGTACCATTTGTACCATAGGGATGAATTATTTACCATTTTATTTGAACTATTAGTTTATACCCAGGAATTAAATAGTAAAGTTATAAATGTTTACAATCAGATTTGAGGTTGAAACAATTTTTTTTTGAAATCTTAAGTTACTTTTAACTTCTTATATCATTTTTATTACTTTTCAAAGTTTTAGATTATTTGATTTTGTACAATTTTGCAAAATATTTAGGGACCGATTCTGCCTCATAATAGAAAAATGTTATGGCAAGTCCATGTTATGAAGAACTTTTCATACTAAATACTGAAAAAAGCCATTGTGTTTGCCGCGCAGTCAGGCGTATTTCTCAGTTTGTCACACAGAAAACCTAACCTAGAAACCGTACAAATGTCAAAAAAACTATGTTAGATAACAGGGTCTTTCTGACTCAGCTTCATAATATACGAGTTTATGTGTAATACAGCAAATACATGATATTTTGACAGTATTCAGTATGATTCAGTAGCATAGTGTATGGAATTTGGAGCGTAACATGGCCTTGCCATAACTTCTTTCTATTGAAATTATTTTCTTTCCTTAGCATCAATCGGAGATTTTTCCGGCTCGAACCGGTGGCGCCCAAAAAATGTGCAATGATTTAAAATTAAAATTATTAGGATCGATGCCACTTGATCCTAAATTAGCCAGAAGTTGTGATGAGGGCAAAGACTATTTAGAAGAGACTAGTAAAGACACTCCGGCTGTTCAAGCACTCAAGACTATCGTAGAAAGTAAGTAAATTTTTATCTTATATATAAAATTCTTCTGTACGGCTGTACGATTCGATACTTCTCCCAAACGGTTATTCGGATTTTGATAAATCTTTCTAGAGTGTGTCAAAGGAAATTTTTAAGATTTAATGAACGATAAAACTATAGTAATATTGTAGAAATAGATGGCAAAAATTACACAAAAAAACACATATCATTGTTTGACATTGAACTGTCATCTGCTAGAAATGTCGATTCACTTGAAATTTGAATTTAGCTGAAGTTATGAGCCTAGACAATATTATAATATAATATACAAGAAAAATGTAATGTCTACATTACTATTGCCGAAAGGCAGCTGAGATGTGCCAGGAATTAAAATAATATAAGATACAGTCAACAGTATGTGTTTGGCAGATGAAATTATATAATTCAGTTTTAAGTACAAAATTGCATATAGATTATTTTTTTAAATTCATGCATGTTGCATTTAGGTTTACTTTACTAAATTATTTAACAATACAAAAAATATAAAACAATCACTTTCCAGATTTGCTGGCAACTCTTCCTGAGTCTTAATAAAAAATAATAATAAATAAATCACGTTGAAGGAGTTTATAAAAGAGGACCAAAACAATGGAAATATTAATGGATGATAAATGGAAATATTTTTGAAAGACACATCTGTAATATATATATATATATAATATATATATATTTATATATATATATATATATATATATTTTGTATGATTCTGAATTTGATGTTGACATATGTATTAACAAAGTCTAATAATCGGGCATAACATCAATAAAAAACATGAATTTCTTTCAAAAATTTATTTTAAATCCATACGTTTCGGCTATAATCCTTGCCTTCATTGAGTGGAAACTAAAAATAAAATTAAAAACTAAAACAATTGAATTGGAGTGAAAAGAAAAAAATAAAATAGTAATTAGTACTTACAATTAGTTGATCTTAGTGTTAGATTGGAAAATTTAATAATCCATGGTATTAGGATATGGTAATGCACTACACTATGTATTATAAACATTAACTTGAAATTACACAATATTTTCACAAAATACTGATTTGAAAAAATCACAAATGAATAGTGTGTTATTCGTAGACTGGTTGAAGATGTAATGGAGAAAGTCATTTTTTAAAAAATATTTTTACCAAGATTCTGCACATGTGTGGAACGAATTGTAAAACCTTTGCGCGAACGCTTTATTGTTTTGTAAGAAATTTGGAAATGTTATCTAAATAGAAGAGATTTGTGTCGCACGCGTGTTGAGTTCATCCGTTTATTTATTGTCTTATTGTTATAAATAGTTAAAAAAGATCCCTCTATAATTCTTCGTTTAAATAAATTTTGTTCAAATTGTAGTATAGTCGGATTAGAATTACACTTAAGATTAGAATTTCACTCCAATTCAATTGTTTTAGTTTTTAATTTTATTTTTAGTTTCCACTGAATGAAGGCTAGGATTATAGCCGAAACGTATGGATTTAAAATAAATTTTTGAAAGAAATTCATGTTTTTTATTGATGTTATGCCCGATTATTAGACTTTGTTAATATATATATATATATATATATTATATATATATATATATATATATATATTAAATTATAGTCTTGGATTTGTGAATATTTTGTAGAGTTTCGAACAAGAATCCAAAAAGTAATAAAAAACAAGAAAAGTTTTTTTAAAAAAGAATTTCTTTCTTTCTTTATTTATTTACTGTCGACGTTTCGGAACTAGGTACGTTCCATCTTCAGGACATCTGTCAAGAAACATGATCTTGATGAGATTTAAGCAAACAATATGTTTAAGAAAAGAAAATGGATTTTTCTTAAATAATAAATCAGTTGAAAAAATAATTGTACAGAAATATGATAATATGATCAAAATGAAAATTATAAAAATAAATGAGTGGATTATCAGAACAGGATATTAAAAATGATAAAAATTTTGAAAGTTTTGGAAAGTTTTAAGAAAAAGTTTTAATTAAAATAAAATTAATTAAAAAATGTCCTGAAGATGAAACGTACCTAGTTCCGAAACGTCGACAGTAAACAAATAATTAAATAAAGAAATAGTTTATTAAAAAGCTTTTTTTTGTTTTTTATTATTTTTTGGATTATTGTTCGAAACTCTACAATATATATATTTATATATATATATTATATATATATATATATATTTATAATATATAAATTTTATTACACTGTTTATAAACTAGATGTTTCATATTTTATATATTTATAAAATCAAAGGTATGTATGTTTGAAGAATGCATATTATTATATATAATATAAAATCTTGAAAGAAAATATCTAGAAATTTTAATGGCATGATAAAGTAAGTACAATGTAAAGCAATTTATAAACTTTAATTTCGTATTTATAATTAATTAGATTATTCCCGAACTAGTTAAAGGTGTCGCGCAGTTCGCAAAGTTTTGTGCCGTCTTTGTGGTGTTGACAAAAAATGACCTCAGTGCATATTGTGATACAATAGAGTATTTATATTATTTAACAAGGATATCCAAAAGTAAGTACTTTATTTACCTAAATTGTTACAAACTATTTATTTACATATATAAATGTATATATCGATTTATACACGTGTATAACTATAGGAATGTATGTGGATTTTGTCTAAATTCAATATATAAATGTATACATCGATTTATACAAGTGCATAACTATAGGAATGTTTGTGGATTTTGTTTAAATTCAATATATAAATGTATATATCGATTTATACACGTGTATAAGTATAGGAATGTTTGTGGATTTTGTCTAAATTCAATATATAAATGTATATATCGATTTATACACGTGTATAACTATAGGAATGTTTGTGGATTTTGTCTAAATTCAATATATAAATGTATATATCGATTTATACACGTGTATAACTACAGGAATGTTTGTGGATTTCGTATAAATTCAATATATAAATGTATATATCGATTTATACACGTGTATAACTATATGGATGTTTGTGGATTTTGTCTAAATTCAGTATATAAATGTATATATCGATTTATACACGTGTATACCTATTAGAATGCTTGTGGATATTTGTCAAAATTCAATATATAAATGTATATATCGATTTATACGAGTGTATAACTACAGGAATGCTTGTGGATATTTGTCAAAATTCAATATATAAATGTATATATCGATTTATACGAGTGTATAACTACAGGAATGTTTGTGGATTTTGTCTAAATTCAATATATAAATGTATACGTATATCGATTTATACACGTGTATAACTATAGGAATGTTTGTGGATTTTGTCTAAATTAAATATATAAATGACGTGTATTTTTGTCCGAATCATGACGTGTATTTTCGCCAATCACAAGATTAGCTGTGCTGGTAAGATATTAGATAATAATTATGGGTTCATTTTATAAAATTGGTAATTTTATTGTTGGATTTCGCTTCCTTGTTTACATAAGTATTTATTACATATGTATTAAATTAAAAACAGCAGAAGTTCAATCTGATATTATTCATAAAAAAGTAGGAATTTATTTTGAAACAATCTTTGAGAAACTCTTTTAAAGTTACCAGAATATTTTTGGATCATCCAGAACATTTTTAGGCTATCCAAAATATTTTCAGACTATTTAGAACAAGGTTAAAGTGTTCGGCATATTTTTTGTCTATTCAGAACATTATTTTAGAACATCTTTAGACTAAGAACATTTTCAGTCTATCTAGAACATGCTTAGAAAAATATATTCAGACTATCAAGAACATTTTCAGGCTACAAATGGCACTTTCAGACAAACTAGAATATTATCAGAACACCTAGAAAATTTTAAGACTATCAAAAACAATTTCTAAAACTGTTAGCGTACGTGTTCGGACAATCTAGAACATTTTCGGACTAATTAGAAGATTTTCAGATTATCCAGAATATTTTTAGAACATATTTGGATTATTCAGAACATTTTCAGATCCACCTAAAATATTTTCAGATAATCCAGAACATTTTCAGAACTATACATCACACTTTTAGATCATCTATAACATTTTCGGAATATCCAGAACATTTCAGACTATCTAGAACAATTGCATTTTTTTTAACATTTTTATTAATTTTGAAAGAAAATGAATAATGAAAAAATTTAATAAATCGTCTACTTTAAAAGTCTAGAATTTATATTTAAAACAATGATATTTTTTTAAAACTTAAACCGAGTTTTTTCGAAAATTGTTTTTTGAAAATTTTCAATTTTTTAACTTCCTGAAAGAGAAGTTTATGTTTTCATAAAAAAATCTATTTGCTAATTTTATGTTTTCTCAACGTTTCAAGCCATTCTTAATTCAATGAGACCAAATTTGAATAAAGTATGTGTGTGTGTGTAGGTGAACAGATTTTGTGCCGTAAATCTACGTTTTCTCAAAAACGGCTGGACCGATTCCAAAATTTTTGAAGCCATTCGATGTGTTAAACTTTTCGTCTACATTTAAGCTGATTCCACCGAATCCATTTAAAAAAGACAAAAACCGTTTGAAAGATATTAGTTGGGAATGAAGCTGATTAGTTTTAGGTGAAAATCTATCGAGCCGTTTTCTTGTAATTAACAGTTGAAAAAAAAATTTAAGCCGATTTTTATGGAACTTTTTTTGGCGATATATATCATGGTCTTATAGAACTTACTGAAATATTACGGCCTTACGACAAGTAGTTTAATTTTAAAAATTCATCAAAGTTTGAGAAAATTAATAGTTTTTTGGACGTTTGTTAAAATTAAAATTAGACGATTTACTTGGTATAACAATAGTAGTACTTAGTCTTAATGAATATACTAAACCATTAAAGTCCTACGGTAACTGGTTCAACTATAAAAATTATTAATTTGTGAAAATTTGCTTTGAGAAAATACTCCGAGTTAACGTGTTCGCTCGTTATCAATCATGTGTAACAAATCCACTCGGAATACTTTTAATCACTCATAAATTAATTTATATTTCATTCATTAAGTCTGGATTATTTACACATATCGGGAAGTTCATGTAATTTGTCTCAACGCAAAAAACCAATACCAACTAGTTAATTAAGTCTATTGCCATGTGTTAAAAATGAAACATTAGTGATTATAATATCCTATTGCTGACTTTTCCAAGTCACAAGACGTTAATGTCGACAAAGGCGAGAAAAACAGATTTAGCGTCTGCAATTAACGACCTCCGACAATAATAATGAACACAATTTAACTAAATGTGCAGCCCCTTTTCAAATTACCAACCAACTCCCATTTTAGCCCCATTCTACCATCCACAGATGGAGTTGGTATTTAACAATTCAATTACCACGGAGGAATAGACGGTGGGTTGATAATAGGTTGATGGGTTGAGAAATTTTTTTAATACAAGAAGTTTATATATACATTTATATATTTAATTTAGACAAAATCCACAAACATTCCTATACTTATACACGTGTATAAATCGATATATACATTTATATATTGAATTTAGACAAAATCCACAAACATTCCTATAGTTATACACGTGTATAAATCGATATATACATTTATATATCGAATTTAGACAAAATCCACAAACATTCTTATAGTTATACACGTGTATAAATCGATATATACATTTATATATTTAATTTAGACAAAATCCACAAACATTCCT